CTGGCACAAAAAAGGTCCTCACTGAGGAACTGAACCCATTCAGTCATGTAGCTAACCCTGTGAATGACACCGGGTTTATCCAATGTTTGCTGCAGGGGTCAAAATGATCTTTGGTTCTATTAAAATTCAGCGATTTTTTTTTTTTTTTTTTTTTTTTCTAAAACCATACCTTCTGTCTTCATGTCTAATAATTCTACTACATTACCTTTGTCCCCTCAGCAAGAAAATCCCATCAACTGACACAAATGCAGCATATGTGAAACACTAAAAACCCTTCGTTGACTTGTAGGATATAATCTAATATAGACCCTGTTATTAAAGTTTCAACCATTTGGCTGTTGGTTTAAGGTGAAACTTTAACCCTTTAAAGCCCGATCCAAGAATAAAACAAAACAGAAAATTACTATTTTTTGGTTTGAGGTCCTTATTTGGCCTTTTAACAAAATATGTAAAAAGAAGAAACAGAAATACATTTTTGATATTAATAATTTATTACTATGCGATAAGTCAAGATTATTTTTTTGTGTAGTCTTCTGCGCTCTGTTATCAGGTATATCTGATTGTGTACAATAGGATTTTGAGCAAAGTTTTTACCATTAAATTATGCAAAAGGTGTCAGACGCAAATCATTTCAGAAACCGGATGTATCAAATATGATACATTTGGCATTACAAGGTTTAAAGAACCCAGGTTCCAAGAACCCAGCAGGATGTTCCTACAGGAAAATAATCCCAAGCATGTCAGAAATGGATTTTAAGGGACAAAACCCGCTTCTAAAATAGAAATTTGTATATGGAACTAAACTGGGGCCATAAAGTAAAAATAGAATAAAAATTTAAACCTGAAAAAAAAGATTTGAAAAATAAGTGTACCTTTAAAACACATTTTTAGCTGGAAAAAAAGTTTACGAAAAACTACTTTTCAGATTCAAGTTTTTTTTTTTTTTTTTATAACTTGCAGATTTTTTTTCCTGCTTCAAAAAAAATCATGAATCTGAAAAGTAGTTTTGCTTTTGAAGAACTTTTGCTTTTCAGTTTTAATATTTTTTTTAACCAAACTGGTAAAATCTTTTTTTCTTTTTAACAAACCGTCAGCCTGTGGTTGGAAAAAATATTTCCTATCTCATGCCTTCTAATATTAATTATCTGTGTGAATTTTTATGTACTTAAAGTTTTCCTTCAAGCAAAGCATCTGCAAGATAAGCCTTAATGTGTCGCTTATCTCAAGGAGCCTCAGAAGCTTTCAGTTGTAGATGTTTTCGGTAAAAGGCTAGATTCCTCACCCTGTTCTTCTTAACTAGTTAGTTAAATCCTGTGTGACCATAACAGGCAGGAACTTTGGCGAGACAGTATCTATTCTCCCTGGCAAGGATTAATAAATGCGGCTTGTATGAAAAGCGCCAATTTTAATTTCTTGTTAAGGGCGTTATGTCTTTAGACTTTTTCCCCAAAGATGGTCCCAATCTGGCTCCATGGTTTTAGCAACAAATTTAATCAACTCCACCAGTTCTGGAAAAAGAAGGTAAAAAGTAAGGATGTCCAATATTATCCTTTAAAACATTAATTTTACCAATATAACTTACATGTATTTGAAGTACCGTTTTTGTGCCAAAATAATTGAGGATTATGCCTGCAGTGGGACTGGGTCACATACATCCAACTGATGTATGAATCTGCCGTAGGAGACATGTTAAAGTAGAAATGTCAGTGGTGTTGATGTTTTGGTTTGTTTTGTGTTTTTTCTCCAAGTTTTAGAAGCAAATAGCTGAAATGCTTTTTGCAGTGACTGAACAGTGTCGCTGCAAACTTAATAATCACAAGACATACCATCTAAACCGTTGCAATGAATGCAGGGCAGCCATGAAGCTGTCACTGGTAAAGACACAAAATATTACTACTAGTCTCTGAGCCTTTAGGTACAGCTGGTACCACCAACGTAACCTTACCTGAGATTCATGCAGTTATTTCTCATCTCATTGAGAAACTCATTGCAGGTAGGGGAGATTTACCAAAGACAATAAGAGAACAACTGTTCTTTTAGCATCCTACCCTTATGAAACATAGGCTGTCATCAATACGTGTACTTGTGCATTCTCATGTGCTGGTGTACTCGTGAAACGTCAGACAAAAAAGTCCCCGAATGTTGTTCTCACACCTCCCTATTTAGAGAGTATGCATCAGAGCACACTTGTCCGTTCTTGAGATTGACAGCTATCCCAGCATGCACTGCAGCAACAGCAGCTTTCAATGGAGCGCTCACAGAGCTCATAGTATTAAGTTAAAAGTTCTCTTTTCTGTTGCTATTGTTCAATAAAAGTAAGTTTTAAGATAATTTGAGGCGAGAATATTATATATATATATAATATTATACCTCAAAGCGTCACTATATGGTCCATTTACTGATTTAATGTATAATAATAAAAAAAAAAAAAATTCCAAGTTGAGAGGACCGTGGCAACCAACGGACCTCCAAGGCTAACGACAGCCAGGGCTAACATTAGCCCGTCTGCAGTAGCCCTCTCTCAGCATAGCCTTGTGTGAAGTACAGCTGGCTCTGATGGCGAGGTCTTTGTTTTATTTGGCAAAATGTTCATTTGATTTGTGTTTATCTGACTGTGTTAATTATTATTCACCCACTAAATGAAAAAAGTTTTAATTTATCTAGAGACTCTAGACGAGCCGGGCATGTGTTGACGTTATCAGTGCGCTTCTGTTGGCTCATATTAATTCTTCGTACTACCGTTCTGCCCAAGTCCATACTTTCCTGTGTTCTTCTCAAGAACATACTTGGCAAGTACACAAGTCTGTACTTCGCGTTCCTGTGAATTGAGAAACAGCCATAGAAAGAACAGGAGTAGGAAAACTATATTGTGTATGTAGGTTGAGGCCAAATATATCAGCATTGGTTATTTGCCATTTGAGATTTGAAAATATTGGCATATCAACCAAAACATTCTATATCTTGCATCCCTATCAGTTAACCAGAGCTCTTCCAGAACTCTAAATATTTTAGTACCTGCTTGGATGATGTTCTAACCGTACAGATTTGTGGTAAACACGCATCATCAGAACACTGTTGGTTACTAATTAGCCAGGGAGTGAAGTCACTGGTTGTCTACTCATATTATTGAGTAGAAATACTGTAATGACTAATATCAGTTAAATCCCTGAATACTGGGTCTGTGGTGTGTATGACCACATGAGCAAGGTAGCATTAGCTAGCATTAGCCTACCCTCATGTCTTAGCTTGTACCTTTTAGTTTGATACCCATAGTGATTTAGCCTGCCGCCAGCTGCATCATCTGGCTCTTCTTCTGAGCTGTTCAGAAGGTCCTCCATTGTTGCCTTGTGTTTGTGTCACATATGGATGATGCCGCCGCTTTGCTTTGACCACCCCTGCCCACATTGGCAGAATGAAGAATCACCTGCTGAAAATAGATGAAGCAAACTAAAAGAAATAGAGCTGATACTAGAATAGAAAAAGACCAAAGATGCATTTAAACCAAAAGTAACAGGGATGCATGGGCAGCTTTATAAAAATCTTAATGGCAGCCTAAATAGTAGAAATATCTACAATTATTTACCGAATCAGTATTAAGTCCTACCCTAATTAGTGTTTTATAAGTGGTTCATTGTTAATAGTGCGATTTGACCACACAAACTGAAGGAGGAGAAGTATCTTTATTTTTTGCTCAAAATTTGATGGCTGTTTCTAAATATTCTGAGTTTTTCAAATCACTTTGTGTTTGCAGGGAGAGAACCAGAGATGAGAAGAAACGAGAACGAGAGGAAGATGAGGAAGATGTGTATGAGCGGCGGAGACTTGAGAGGAGGCTGAGAGATAAAGAAGCTGCCTACCAAGACGTACTACTGCAATTTTTCTTTTTTCTGTTTGTTTGTATATAAGTGATTGTTAATGTTAAGATCTTTTAATCATTGCTGTGCTTCTGAGTCATGGATTAATGGTTTTTGGGTTGTTTTTCTTGTAAAGCGGCTCAAAAACTGGGAGATCCGAGAGAGGAAGAAGGCTCGTGAATACAACAAGGAAAATGAGAGGGAGGACGAGAGGCGGCGTGAAATGGTACACATGATGAACATGCTGTGAATAAATGATTCTGGACAGGTTATTGGTGGTTTCATGATTACTCTCATTTTGAACATAAGATAAAAGAAGCCAAAAGACTGAAAGAGTTCCTTGAAGACTATGACGATGACAGAGATGATCCGAAGTATTACAGGTGATTATCTTCACTCATGTTTAGAGATTTCTGTGGTTCTGTTATCATCCTTAATCTGTTTTTCTCATTCTCAGAGGCAGCGCTTTGCAGAAGCGGCTCCGCGACCGAGAAAAGGAAATAGAAATGGATGAGAGAGATCGCAAGAGGGAAAAGGAGGAGCGGGAGGAGATCCGGCAAAGACTTCTCGCTGAGGGTCACCCTGATCCAGATGCGGAGCTACAGAGAGTAAGTCCTCCTACAGGTTTCTTTAACAGAGAAGTTTATGGTGTCAGACACAAAAGCTAACTACTAGAGTATATTATGCTCCACAGGTGCATTGGGCTCACCTATTTTGATCAGCTTCAGTTTATATCAATCAATCAATTTCTTTATTGTCAACTGCAGTTGTAATCAAGATTTCAGTTTCTGTACAGGGGGAACGATTTACTGAGGCCACGCGTGCCGCAGAACACTGCCTTTGGCACGTTGTTATGGCTGCCAAGGGCCCCGCCGTGAGGCAGTTCCCTATAGCTCTACCTTTTCTTTACAGATTACCCCATGACTTGGTGTCATGTCTGTCAGCATGTTGGTACAACTTTGTTTCAGTCTTTTGACTTGATCTGGAAAAAAATCTGCTTCTGAATGTCTCTGGTTTGTATTTGTGCAGTTGGAGGAGGAAGCGTTGCGCAGGCAACAGCCACCTCTCAACCTCGAACCCGAGGAGGATGCAATCCAGGAAAAAAGTCACCGTGATCGGGAAGTGGAGCGGATTCGTGAACGGGACCGGCATCACGAGCGGGAACGGCATCACGAACGGGAACGGCATCACGACCGGAACCACCATAGTGAGCGGGAACGAGAGCGGGACAAGAGAGGTTCTGAGAGGCCCACGGAGCCAAAGTCTAAAGCCCCCCAGCCTCATTCAGATGATGATGATGATGATAATGGTGCTGCTGACATTAATGAAAGGCATGAGGAGGACTATCATGAAGGGGAAGACTCCCAGGAAGCTAAGCCTCAGCTTAAACCTGTAATGAGACCAATCACCATTGCCCCATCAGTGTCTTCTGCTAGTGGGAATGCGACTCCAAACACACCTGGGAATGATTCCCCCTGCGGCATAATCATCCCAGGTGAGAGCACTCCTGACGTCCAGCCTTTAGAAGAAAACCGGCCCAAGATCGGTCTCAGTCTCAAACTGGGTGAGTGCAAAAGCAAGCTTTACATACAAGTTAGTGTAGCACTCTTCTTTATAGTCAAAACAGATGTTTGGACCTCATCATCCTATTCTGCAGGTGCCACCAACAGCCCCAGTCAGCTCAATCCTGGGAAGCGAAAGAAACTTGCAGCGGCAGACAGCGTCTTCAACAAATTTGATGACGAGGAAACGGATGAGCAGCCTCGCAAGAGAAAACTAGTTCCTCTGGACTATGGTGATGATGATAAGAGTTTGGGACTCGATGGGGCAGAGATGTCAGCAGCCAAAGGCGGCAGCATCAACACTGAGGAGAAACGAAAGCATATAAAGAGCCTTATTGAGAAGATTCCCACCGCCAGGCCGGAGCTCTTCTCCTACCCTTTGGACTGGACCATGGTTGATTCGGTAAAAATACTGCTGGATCAGAAATGGATTGGAATAATTTATACCTTAATAGTATAGTTAAAGTTCTCGGGATCTTCTTATTCTATCTTTTCTAGACACTGATGGATCGACGGATTAAACCGTGGATTAATAAGAAGATTATTGAATACATTGGGGAGGAGGAACCCACTCTGGTTGATTTTGTATGTTCTAAGGTTTGTATCTATTTAATGAAGAAAAGGACAACATTTTTCCAGCTGTATCATCACATTTTTGGATTCTTTATAATTCTTATGTTTATAACTTTATTTTAATTGTTTGTTTTTTATCCAGATAATGGCACATAGCACTCCCCAGGGGATTCTGGATGATGTCGCTATGGTATGTTAGAGCATTATCCTGAGTCTACAATTTAGACCTTTAAAGGTCAAATCTAGAGCAGTTATATGATGTGTGATGGTAGAGTATCCTTTCTTTTCTCTATGTGGCTGGTCTAAATCGTACTACGGAGTATTAGGGCCAGGCTAGAGATTTAAAAAAAATTCTATGTCTAGAATAAAGTCGTAACATTACGAGAATAAAGTTGTAAAATTACAAGAATTGTAAAATTACGAAAATCGTAAAATTACAGGAATAAAGTCATAAAATTGCGAGAATAAAATCACAGCAAGAATATTCATAAAATTACAAGAATAAAGTCGTAACATTATGAGAATAAGGTGATAAAATTACGACAATAAATTCTTAAAATTATGAGAATAAAGTCGTAACATTATGAGAATAAGGTGATAAAATTACGACAATAAATTCTTAAAATTACGAGAATAAAGTCGTAACATTAAGAGAATAAGGTATTAAAATTACGAGTATAAATGCGGAAAATTACAAGAATAAAGTCTTAATATTACGAGAATAAAGTTGTATTTTATGACAACTCTTACAAGAAGCACTTTCTTCACTAAAATGAGGAATGTTGAGCATTTTGTGAAGTTATACTTTGGCTCTGGTTTGACAAATAAGAAAATCTTTTAGCGCACCTGCATCAAATTAGAGAGAATTTCAAAGTTGACTCAGGTTGCTGATTGGTGGTGCTGCTCGGTCGTCATCTGCTGGTCTTAGCTTGAAGGTTTCTTTCTGAAATGTGTTGTTGTATGACAACCTCATTCTCGTAATATTCCAACTTTATTCTTGTAATTTTATTACTTTATTCTCATAATGTTACGACTTTATTCTCATAATTTTATGACTTTATTCTCATGATGTTACGATTTTATTCTCGAGCCATAACATTCTTAACATTTCTCGATCACAAATATAATCAGTTGATGTGTGCTGGACATTTAACCACTTCTATATTTTGTATCTCTATAATTTTTGCTATTGGAGCCCTCTGCTGTGAGACATTGTTTACTGATCATGCATCATTTTATCAAGCCAGTCGGATGTTTGTAGCTGTTTTGAGAGCTGATAAATGAAAGAATCCTTTATTATCTATTATTATCTTCATTATATATTCAACATTATTTACTATAAGTATATGATATATAATAAAGGTGATCGGTGGTCCTTTATTAAACCCAAATGGTATAAAAACTTGTTGAAATCTGTATATGGTATTTTGAAATGTGTTTGCACTGTTAATGTGTCCCTCTGCATTGCCTGATAGTGGGCTGTAAAGCGTGTAAGTTAAATTCTTCCTGATCTCTTTATTTATTTTTATTTTTTGTTTATATAGGTTCTTGATGAGGAAGCAGAAGTCTTCATAGTGAAAATGTGGAGGTTACTGATATATGAAACAGAGGCTAAGAAGATCGGACTGGTAAAGTAGAGACTTAAAAAACCTCGAAGCTTTCAGTTGGGCTAGCTACACTTTTTCTGGTCCACCAGATGGTAAATATGTGCCCATTCACCCCTCCATTCCATCTGCAAGGAGCTGCTACCTTGTATGTATGTGTGTGTGTGTGTGTTTGTGTGTGCGCCTGCGAGAGAGTATGGGTGTTGATATCTGTATGATGAGGTTTGTGAACAGAAAAGGATTGCACAAACCTTTAGCATGGTAAAACATTGGTGGTTTTGTTTTTTCTTGCGTCAATGACATTGTTAAAGAAAAAGACGGTTGCATTTCACTGTCTGTTTTCCAGGTTGTTGAACATCGTACATACTGCTTTGATTTACTGGTGTCCTGTGAAAGCTCTGCCGTAACGGGTGAATTAATAAACATGCTTTTTAAAATAAAAACGTTTAAATGTATGCCGTTGGAGTCTGTTTTTTATTTTGTACCTAAAAAAAAAAAAAAATAACTAGAGGAATATTAGCTTGTTTCTCCACTTTGAAAAGAGGTCATTTTGCCTGCATCTCAGACCTTGTACCTTTATAAGCTGGATAAGCTGTCAGAACAAAGGTTTAAAATGTGTCTAATATTCAAAGAATTTAAAAATGTGTCTACTATTCAAATTCAACTAATTTGATTACTGTAGACACATTTAAAAATACAAATACAAACTCAAACCCATTCATACAATCTGATACCTGGTTAAATGTTCTTAAAATAAAAAAGATGTCATATTAAAAATCCCATAAAAGGAAGAAAACCTAGGGGAAGTAACATGACAATTTTAAATTAAACAAATATTAAGAAGCATTAGGGTGGTAGCATCACACATACTCCACTGCCATTAGTGTTCTTTTCACAAAGTGGGCTGAATAATCCAAAAGAACCATCTCCAGAGTTCTTTGACTTTTTTTTTTTCTTTCTTGATCTCAACAGTCTGTTTCAATTGCACAATGATCCCAACATATCAATAAGGGAGTGGGGTTGAATGTGATGTGAAATATCACATTTCTGGAAATTTAACCACTACCTGTATTAACATTTTATAGACTGTTATTTAAAGCTGCTTAATGGCACACTAAACTGTACTTTTAAAATTGTTTAAGATACTTGTTGAATTATCCAATTAGAATAATGCTAAAATCTTTTCATGACATAAAAATGGAGGCTATGATGTGTTTATTTTTAACAAAAAAAATAGTTTATCCAAATATTACAGAATGTATTTTAGCTGGTTGGATTCTAGAAAATTCTGAATAGTTCAACGTGCCTATTTATAAATCTGTTAAAATAAATTCTCTCTCTCTCTCTCTCTCTCTCTCTCTCTCTCTCTCTCTCTCTCTCTCTCTATATATATATATAGATATATCTATATAGATATATATCATTTATTTTTTTCATCATTTTTTTTTATATTTCATAAATATTTTATATTTTTCATAAATATTTCTTAAAAAAAACTAAAGCCTGCAAAAATATTAAATAAAATAACTACAAAAAAGACGTCGCTTTAAATGTATGTCATTCAACGAGTCTCGCAGTGACGTGGCAACCTCGGTGATTGGTTGGTGACCCGGAAGTATTTGACAGGCTCACTAACAACAGGATGTTCTCCTAACAATTTGCTGTTAATCACCTCGGGCAGTTGCAATATATTTTGTTTGATTGGAAATCCTAGCAAAAAAAAAGACAGAGCACACTAAAACAATGGAGGAATAACGTGAGAGCGTTTCTTTATTATCAAGTCTCCCTGAGACGGATAATTACTAAAGCTAGTTAGCATTAGCGTTGCTACCGAGGCCAGAGGCTGCAGCAGTTCTGATACTTATCGCGAATGTTTTGAAGCCCCACCGAACCGGTATCATCATATTCTTGTCAAATTATCAGAACTTGGTTAGCTGTAGCAGCTTTCAGGTCATGGTGTTGAACCGGGAAAGATCTGGGTTCTGTTATCAAAGTGTTGTTGGAGTTTTGGTTTGATGGTTTAGCTTTAGATTCGCATTAGGCTAGCTGAAGAAAAAAAAAAGTGCAATCATGGACGATTTTAGCTCGATCAGTTTGCTCTCTCTTGCGATGTTGGTGGGATGTTACGTGGCCGGAACAATACCCCTTGCAGTCAACTTCTCGGAGGTAAGTTCTGAGCAAACCCAGAACTGTGCAACAGCTACTGACAGAGAAGTTAACTTTAGCTTAGAATCCCATTGCTCACACCAGAAACGCTTATCACCATGGAGTAAACAGTGCTTGTTCTGTCCTGAGACTGTTGTGTTTATTGCTGTTTGTCCAGGAGAAACTGAAGCTGATCACTGTTCTGGGAGCAGGGCTGCTTTGTGGAACAGCACTTGCTGTTATTATTCCTGAGGGAGTCCACGCACTTTATGAGGAGATCCTTGAAGGTAAAGTTTTAAATTAGTGGTAATAGCCTTTTGGTTTTGAATCAGCTTTTGATTTAAGTGTGAAGCAAGTTTAAGTTTGCCATTTTCTACTCAAGGGTGTTTATGTCAAAACATGTAATTTCAACTTTTGCACGTTCTGACATGTCACAGTTTTAACCTTGAGTTGATGCAATTACATTTTATATTAGACCAACACAAAGAAGAGCAGAATTGCTTAGTCAGCCAAAAATAAATACCTTTAAACTCCTTAGTAGCTTCAGATTTTCTTGGATTTTGCTATTTCTCTTTCTCGTAGCTTTCTCTTTCTCGTGTCCCTTCGAAAAAGTCCAGATTTGTGCATTTCTTGTGATTTTGTGTTACATGTCATGTCAAACCAATATACAGAGTCTGTTAATTTAAATTAGACAGGTAATGCTAAAGATTTTCTATCCAATGAAACCCAGCTGATGATGAACCAGACACAATGTTAAAAGCTGTATGGAAAACTTACCGTGAAATATTTATATATTTTTAAATTTAAAGGATAAGAAATAACTTGTGTTGTCTAAGAAATGTGTTGCTTAAAACAAGTCCTTCTTTCGCTCTAGTAGAAAAACCACATGACCATGATTAAAGATGATTGTCCAAACAAAAGAGGTAGATTCCAATGAGACGGTTTTTCTTCCATATCTCTCAAATTCTCTGTGGGGTGATCTTTTCACTAGTCTTACACACACTTGAATTTATTTGTGGTCATAACTTCCTCTTTTTGTTTTTCTAAGTCATCTCAGGTCTTATCCTTTAGAGATTACAAATCTAAGCTTGACGTCAGAAACTTTTTTTCCCCTTTGTTTTAGATTGCACAGTCATTGTAAAATGGCTTTCAGTTTAATCTCTACCCTTGAGCGTTTTACACACGTTTGTTTTTGATATAACCAAAAAATGGTATCAATTGGGATTGGATTTTATAACATCGACCCTGACAAAGTAGCACAAAGTTGAATAATTCACAGCAATGTATTTTTTAATTCAACATATTAATAAACTGATAAATGGGTCAGAGTTGAAGTTGTGGAAAGGTTTAATCAATAACTATTACTACTATTATTGTTAAAGACAAAGATAGTCCATCTTCCTTTAAAGAGGAGCAGCAAGTTTTTGAAATGAGATACTCTGATCAAAAGAACCTGTTTCAGGACTATTCACTCATACGTCCACTTGAGCACATCATCCCTGTGGTGAAGCATGGTAGTAGCAGTATCTTGTTCTGGGGAGGCTTTCAAAGAAAGCCGGTCAGAGTAAGATATTGGAAGAGAACCTATTAGATGCTGTTAACAATAAGGCACAGTTAGGATGGTTCATCTTCTAGAGCAAGGGTCTGCAACCTTTACAACCTGAAAGACATGACTTCTATCAAGCTAATAAAACTTGTTTATAGCTGCAAACATCATATAACCCTTTAAAAAAAAAAAAAAAAGATATATATTTGATCAGTATAAACCAAAGTGGACTATTGTCCCTTTTAAATAACCACTGTGTCATTACAAACTTTAGGTTTTAAAATGAAGGAAAACACTTGGAAAAAGTGAATTGTTTGAAAGTTTCTGTTGAGTTGTTGATGTACTTGGGAAGTTAAGTTGTAAAATCCTAACAATTTCCCCCTTAAAAAGGAAAATCGTTTTAACTAGAGTCAATTAGTTTGGGTAATTAGAATTTTTAATTGGGAACAAAATCTCACTTAAAAAAAGGCAGAAGACCCCTGTTCTAGAGGGAAAAAGAAAAATCAAAATCGCTGGTGGAATTCAATTCAAAAGAACATTATTAAACCCAAAGGGAAAATAGATATTACATTATCTCATTTTTTTTCTTTTACCTGTTTGTGTTGGTAGCTGTAGACAGGAAGGATCTTCTATAGTGGCTCTTTTAAAATGTAACCATGTCTTGAGAATGGGATAGCTAAAGACTAGATCTAAATTCAATCAAGAATAGGAGGAAATATTTGGAAAATCAATTTTCACAGGCTTTCTGTCCCTCAGTTATGCAGAGAAGATGTGAAAAATATGTGGTTCTACAAATGATTCACTCTGGGCGCTGAATACAAATGCATGCCACACTTTTCAGACTCTTTGTTTTTTTTTTTTTTTGCAACCCACTAAGCTTTCTGGTTATTGCGTAAAAAAATTAATTAAATAAAAGTATCTAAGTCTAGGGTGTGAATACTTTTACAGGGCTTTTTTTAAATGAGCTTTAGCCTGTGAAGGTTATGATTGTTTGTATGTTATTTAAACAGAGTAAAGTTCAGCTAGCTGTGCATTACAAAATATTGACCTCTACCTTTTATTTTTAGAGATTTTCTCTTGTTTGCTGTTGGTGTAAGTTGTAGTCCTTTTTGTTTGTATCTCCACGATCATTCCTCCGTGTTGGCATTTACCAGTCCGTGTTTCTCCAGGCGTGCACCACAGCCACAGTCAGCCTGGGGCTGCGCAAGCCTCTGAGACGAAGGAAGCAGAAGCAGCCCTGGACGCCACTGGTGCTCATGAACACAGCCACGAGCAGCTCCACGCCTGCATCGGTGTCTCTCTGGTGCTGGGCTTCGTCTTCATGCTGCTGGTGGACCAAATAGGCAGTTCTCATGTTCACAACTCTGAAGGTCAGAATCACAAAGAATGAGCACAAGATGAGCTTGCTTGGTAGAAAATGGAATGGTTATGAATTTGTGACCCAAATAGATAATTTAAAAAAGATCTATATATGTGCATTTTAGATCCAGAATCGGCAAGAGTCACCAGCTCTAAAATCACCACTACTCTTGGTCTTGTAGTCCATGCAGCAGGTAAGTCTATTTCCTTATTTTTAATTTGTAACAAAAAATCTTCAAGTACTAATGTTCTTTAACATAGGACTTCATCTTATGACTGTAATTTTGTTGATCAAAGTTATTTATATTAGCTTTATGCTAAAGCAGTTTTTATTTTGTGTAATTAATTGGAAAATATGTGAATATTATTCCCATTGTTTCCAGCCGACGGAGTGGCGTTAGGAG